TATCTTCCTTCTTTTGTGTCTGTCCTGCTGTCTCCTGTAACAGTGGACTGTTGTGAACCTATCTCCTACAGAGCAAGGTGCTCTGGATATTACTATTGAAGTATCAATAAGTCACTAGGGCTTCTTGATGAAGATGAAGGGTAGAACATACACATTTTCTCTATTTCTTAAACTCCCACGAAGACCCAAGGAAGCTCAATCTTAAAATAGAAAGAGATACGATTCATTTGAGAGAGAATCCTGTTTGTGTGTGTGCGCACACATACATGTGCACATATGCACGCAGGTACCCCAAAAGCTTAGGAAATGGGAATACAAAGTATTCTTGAAAATAGAGGTGGATTGAAGGTAGAGCTAAAAATGAAAACATGGTTGAATATTCCTTTAAGAACAGTGAGATTCTGCTATCCCTTCCTCACCTCTGTGTAGTTAAGTGAATTTCCCTTCTACCGTAGTAGGACTTGAAAGTTTACTATTTGGGGAGGATAAGACTGAGGGTTTCTAGACTGGAAAGAAAAGGTGGAGATGTACAAAACTATAGGCAAAGAAGATCTTTCTATGGGGAATCTGCTGATATCCAGAGCTGTTTAGTGAAATGACCCAACCACACCATGTATAGAGAATCTCAACAAACAGTACTCAGTGAGAGCTTATCATCAGCTTCCAGGTGAACTGACCACGAGGAACCAGAAAATATCTTAGGAAAATTAAAGACACCAAAAAGTCTAAAAAGAAACTGACAAAAGACGTGTGAAGAAGACTTGGAAAAATGGTCATTAATGCCCTCAGAGATGCAGAACTCCTGATAGATCCTGCTTCAGCTGAGCTCCTTGATAGGACACACTGCGTCTTCAGGGCCAACACAGAGACAGTCCTGTAGCACATGATCCACTTGTACACCACATTCCAGATCCTTGGTCCTGGCACTCCTTGTACAGACCACCCCAGGCCCATTCCCACGGTCTGCAGGCCTCTTTCTTGTCTCTGTCTTGCTGAGGGCCTTCTAACACAGTATGCTTAGAGGTGGCCGAGGGAAGGTTGTTTATGTGAAATGTGGATGGAGTTGGGTGTGTGGTCTGAGTCCACATGTGTAAGCATGGGGTCATTATGGATGAAAAGTCTTCCATAGTGTTTAGCATAATGGATGATTATAGACCACATCCATGCTTAATATTATACAGTTTTACATTGTAACACACCCTAACCAAAAGGAAGATCCTACAAGCATTCCAAGAGGGAAAACACTACAACCACCCCCCAAAAACATGCCATATACAAATGATCAGAATCAGAATGGCTTCAAACATCTCACTGATGACACTGATGTCAAAAAGCGAATGGAGCAGGGCCTTCAGACGTCTGAAAGAAAAATCTAAACCATACTTTTATATGTGAATTAATTAATTACTTAAGTGAATATGATAAAGTTATTTTCAGAAATTTAAGGTTTCAAAAGATTGTCTCCCATAAATTCCTTTTGAGGAAGCTATTGGATGATGTATTCTCCTAACAAGGGAATAAATACAGATAGAACAGCAAATGTATATTGAAACAAATGAGAAGGCTGGAGGAAGGACAAAGAATATCAAATTTGCAATGTATGTGATTCTGTTTTGAAGTGATCTTGACAATTGGAGATAGATTGGAGTTCAATATTACAAAAAGTTTATAGGAAACTAGGTTTCCAAAACAGGTTATTGTTAACTGTAGGTAAAACAAACATTTGGTCAGGAAAAGGCAACCAATCAACATATTGATGGCTTAGTTGTGAATCTTAATACAAGAAACCCTGACTATTGATTTAACCAAAGCTTTAATAGAAAGTTAAGGGGATCTCTGCTTCTTACAAGTGGAGATGGGGAGAGGATGTTGGATGGTATGAGAGTTGATTCCCTTCTTTCACAGAGGAAGGTCAGTAGATAAGCCTGGAAACTGAAATTGTGGTAGCAGTGTGACCACGTGATTTGAGCTCATAGAGATACGGAAGCTTAGAATAAAAAAAGAGCGGCCTTGGGAGGGTTTTAAAACACTCTAATAACTCTTTAAAATTTACTCTTTAAAATATGTGAATAAATAATTTTCTTAAGAATTAAGATTTAAGTTTCAAAAAAAATTTTTTTTTATTTAAGTGCAGCTGACACACAACATTGCATTAGTTTCAGGCGTACAGTATAGTGATTCAGTGTCTCTTTATGTTATATTGCACTCCCCACAAAGGTGGCTACCATCTGCCATACTACAATGTTATTACAATCTCATCGACTCTATTCCCCGTACAGTGCTTTTTATTTGCTTGACTTATTCATTATGTAACTGGAAACCTGTATCTCCTACTCCCCTTCACCCATTTTGACCCTCCCTCCACTGCTGTTCCTTCTGGCAACTATCAGTTTGTTCTCTGTATTTATAGATCTCATTCTGCTTTTTGTTTGTTTATTCATTGGTTTTGGATTTAGATTCCACATATGGTATTTGTCTTTCTCAGTTTGACTTATTTCACTTAGCACAACACCCTCTAGGTCCATCCATATTACTGAAAGGTCCAAATAGCATTTTTCTTAAATCTGCATAATATTCCATTATATATGCAAGTATATATACATATCACATTTCTTTATTCATTTATCAGTGGACACTTGGGCTGCTTCCATATCTTAGCTATTGTAAATAATGCTGCAGTAAATGTAGGAAGCCATATATCTTTGAATTAGTGCTTTGGAATTTTTTGTGAAAATACCTAGTAGTGGCATTTGGATTATATAGTATTTCTATTTTTAATTTTTGAGGAAACTCCATACCGTTTTCCACAGTGGGTGCACCAGTTTTCTTTTTCACTACATCTTTGTCAATACTTGTTACTTCTTTCTGATTTTAGCCATTTTGACAGGTGTGAGGTGATACTTCATTGTGGTTTTGATTTGCATTTGTTGGATGATGACTGACATTGAGTGCCTTTTTATGTGTCTGTTGGCCGTTTGTATGTCTTCTTTTGAAAAATGTCTGTTCAGGTCCTCTGCCCATTTTAAAATCAGATTGTTTTTTTGGTGTTAGGTTGTAGAAGTTCTTTATATTTTATTTTATTTTTAAATATTTTTTAATGTTAATTTATTTTTGGGAGAGACAGACAAAGCATGAGTGGGAGAGGGGCAGAGAGCAAGGGAGACAGAATCCAAAGCAGGTATGGTACTGGCACAAAAACAAACACATAGATCAATACAACAAAATAGTCCAGAAATAAACCCACACTTACATGGTCAATTATCTATAACAAAGGAAGTAAGGCTATACAACAGGGAAAAGACAGTTTCTTCAATTGATGGTGAAAACTGGTCAGTTACATGCAAAAGGATGAAACTGGAACACTTTCTAACACCGTACACAACGTGTCGAGGGTGTATTCAATGGAGTGATTTTTTTTTTTAATGTTTATTTATTTTTGAGAGAGAGAGAGAGGGAGGGGAATGACAAGGGGAGGAGAGCAGAGGGGAGACACAGAATCCCAAACAGGCTCCAGGCTCTGTGCTGACAGCTCACAGCCTGACTCAGGGCTCAAACTCACAAACCCGTGAGATCATGACCTGAGCCGAAGGCGGATGCTTAACTGACTGAGCCACCCAGCTGCCCCAAATTCTTTACATTTTAAAAATATTAAACCCTTATTGGATATATCATTTACAAATGTCTTCTCCCATTCAGTAGGTTGTCTTCTTGATCTATTGATAATCTCCTTTGCTGTGCAAAAGCTGTTTATTTTGATGTAGTCCCAAAAGTTAATTTTTGCTTTCATTTCCTTTGCTTTAGCAGACATATCCAGAAAAATGTTGTGATGGCCAATATCAGAGAAAATACTGCCCTGTTGTCTTCTAGGATTTTTATGGTTTTGGGTCTCACATTTAGGTCTTAAGTCCCTTTGAGTTGATTTTTGTGTATGGTGTTAGAAAGTGTTCCACTTTCATCCTTTTGCATGTAACTGACCAGTTTTCACCATCAATTGAACAAACTGTCTTTTCCCTGTTGTATAGCCTTACTTCCTTTGTTACAGATTAATTGACCATGTAAGTGTGGGTTTATTTCTGGACTCTCTATTCTGTTGTATTGATCTATGTGTTTGTTTTTGTGCCAGTACCATACTGTTTTGATTACTGCAGCTTTGCAGGGGATCTTTAAATTTGGAATTATGATACCTCCAGCTTTGTTCTTTGTCAAGATTTCTTTGACTATTTGCGATCTTTTGTAGTTCCATGCAAATTTTAGCATTATTTTTTTCTAGTTCTATAAAAAGTTCTGATGGTATTTTGATAGGGATTAAATTGAATTATAGTTTTCAGAGTATAGGTTTTTTACTTCCTTGGTTACATTTATACCTAGGTATTTCAGTTTTTTAGGTGCAATTGAGAATGAGATTCCTAATTTCTCTTCCTGCTGTTTCATTATTAGTGTGTAGAAATGCTTCTGATTTCTGGGTATTAGTTTTGTATCCTGCAACTTTAGTGAATTCTGTATTACTTCTAATAGATTTTGGCTGTTTCCCCCAAATTTTGAAACATCATGTTTACATTTTCATTTGTCTCCATGCTTTTTGATTTAACCAAGGAGGTGAAAGACCTTTACTCTGAAAACTATGAAACACTTGATGAAAGAAATTGAAAATGACACAAATGGAAAGGTAATTTATACTCAAGGATTAGAAGAATTAATGTTCAGATTCCCACACTACCCGAAACAATCAACAGATTCAGTGCAATCCCTATGAAAATACCAACAGCATTTTCCACAGAACGAAGCAAGTTCACCTAGTCTCAAAATACTTTCCTTATTTGATCATAAAGGAAACTTTGATAAATGAGGATTGATCTTTCATAGACATATGGTTTTAACGTATGTATGCGTATGGAAGATTTTTCTTCCAGTAGACTTTGACCAGGGTGAAGTTAAAGAATGTATGATGACATTTTTTAGGCTGATGTATTTTCTTTCATTAATTTTACTTTTATTTTCAGGGTGACCGTGGACTTCCTGGTTTTCCTGGGCTTCATGGAATGCCAGGATTAAAGGTTGAAAAAATCTAGTCTTAATATTCACCACATCATATTTTATTTTGAATTTAAAGTTACTTATGCTACAAATGTGTTATAAATAAATCCTCATGTGTAAATGAAAGTATATTAAAATAAATGGGTTACTATCAGAGTGTACAGAAAGCTTTTACAAATTTTCTTTACAATTTCCAGACACAAATTTTATGGTATTTAAACATTGATGAGTAAAGTTTACCATATGGAAATTTTTTTAAGTTTGTTTATTTATTTTTGAGAGAGGGAGAGAGAGAGAGAGTGTGCGCGAGACGGGTGTGGGGGGTGGAGGGGTAGAGAGCAAGAGAACTCCAAGCAGGGTCTGTGCAGAGCCGGATGTGGGGCTCGAACCCATGAACCGAACCGTGAAATCATGACTTGAGCCAAAACCAAGAGGTGGAAGCTTAACCGACTGAGCCACCCCAGCACCCCTCTATGGAAATTCTTTTAATTATAAGCCCTGAACCGTAGGTCCTATTTTGGTACCATCTGTCCTTGTTTTTCCTTGTTTTTTTTAATAAAGCCTTAAACATGGGGCTTTTGTAAACTTTAAATTATTTTATATTATGTTGACATATTAAACCTTGTTTATAATTGGTGTTGCTTTTTTTCTTTAATCTGTAAGGGACGTTTTCATACTTTTAAAAAATTCACTATTTTAATTCCAGTTAGTTAACATACGGTGTTATATTAGTTTAAGGTGTATGATATAGTGATTCAGCAATGCAATATACTACTCAGTGTTCATCATAATAAGTGTACTCTTAATCCCCTTCACTTGTTTCGCTCATCCGCCCCCGCCTCTGGCCAACTTGCCGTCTGATATACTTTATTTTAAATGAGGACCCTCAGTTAAAGTTATTTTTCTTCCAACAAGAACATTTTTTACTAGAAGCATACTTCAAATTACATGGTTTGAAAAGATATATATAAAACCACTTTCCATCCAAGAAAAATAGAATATACATTTTCTTCAAGTACCCACAGAAGAATCACTTGGTTAAATCACATAAAAAGGGACATAACAAATACTGGAATTAAAATTAAAAATTTAATAAAAAACAAAACCCAATATTTATATTTTGCCTTTTAGGGTGAAATGGGCCCGAAAGGAGATAAAGGATCAACTGGATTTTATGGCAAAAAGGGAAGTATGGATTGTAAAACAAAGTATCTATATGGAACTTTGAATGTCATGGAAATGCAAAACTTGAATCTTTCCCAGCCACCATTTCAGCAATTAGCTTTGTTCATCTTTCTCAGGAGATTTATTTAGAATAATGAAAAACCCTAAAAATAACTGGTTTAGGTGTACACTGTGTTATTGATTATCCTGAATTTTTAAAGTATTTATGGAGAACGATTCCTTGGGAGAAGTAGTAACAGCATGTCCCTGGAGAATCAATGTTATGGGCCTTCTGATTTCTTCACATTGAAGGAAGATTATATTCTCTTCATATTGTGTTTAAAATACACTGCTTTTTAATTTTGCGAGATGTGGTTTCTGTATTTAGATGCTTATAATAATCCTGCATTCACCGTAATTTTGATGTCTTTATGTTGTGTCCACTGGCCTGGTAAAATAATGCTTTGCCAAAAGTCATAGAGCCAACACAAGCTATAGTTCCATGAATTCTGTCATTACATAAAGAGTTTCACTTACTCACTTTTTAACTTAAGTTTGAGTTGCAATTTAAAAATCATTGTTGTACCTCCTCTGAGGATGGTGTCTAGAGACATTCACAGCGGTCCAACTGCCGTCATAGGCTATTCTACAATACAGCCTCTAGCAAAATGAGGTTGTCCAGAATGCCTGGTAATAGGATTGTTTACCTTACTACCAACAAAGTTGGGAAAGCACCAACATCTGTGTGTGTGTGCCCAGGCAAACGTCAGAGTTTGTGCTGTGAGACCTAAAGTTCTTATGAATTTGCCTCAAATGAAAAAAACATGTTAGAAGGGCCCATGGTGGTTCCATGTGTGCTAAATGTGCCCATGCCAAAGTCAAGCCTGCTTTCTTTATTGAGGAGCAAAAATCTTTGAGGAAGTGTTGAAGGCACAAGCACAGAGTCAGAAAGCTAAACAAACAAACAAAATGAAGCTTTTCTGAGCAATAAGAACAAAAAAATAAAAATAAAAGTTTTGCATGGATTGTTTTTTTTTTTAAGTATTTATTTTTAATACAGGGTGCAAAAGGTGAAAAGGGAAATGCTGGTTTTCCTGGCCTTCCTGGACGTGCTGTGAGTTTGACAGAAAAAAGTTCTTGAGTATTTTACTTAAAAATTATCTTACACTCTCTTTCTTTAGAAATAAAAATTAGTGCAAAATATATTAAAATACATGTACTTATTTTTTAGGGAGAACCAGGAAGACATGGAAAGGATGGACTAATGGGTAGTCCTGGTTACAAGGTATTTACATTAAAAAAAAAACATTCTGTAACTTGTGAGTGAACATTTGAAAAATGTACTGACATTTAACTTTTTACATTATGACATTGGTATAAAGTAATGAGCTAAAAGTTGTTTTACTGTAATTGAAAAATGAAGTAAGTTTCTTTGGAGTCTGTTGTGAATTCTTATGTCTTAGAAATAAAATCCTTGGATATTTGAAAGTTGAACTTCTTTGATAAGCCATTGAAACTGAATTTGTTTGGTGGGTGAGAGGCAGAGGTACATAGCTCTTAGCTCCCAAAGGATTGAAGTTTTGGGTGGGAGTTAGGAAGACTTCATCCTTAACCTTAACAACTTCTTTATCAATTCTGTGGTGTCAGTATGGGAGAAATAAAGCAAGAGGTACTGGGATGTCAGTCCTTCACCAACCCTGAAAAAGTCAATGGCTCTGAAAAACATGATGGTGGGTTAGCACCATCTTACTGTTACATAAATGGTTGATTGGTTAATTATCAAATAGGAATGGGCTTTCTGTGCTATAGCTTGTTAAATGAAAAGATATCAGTCATGTGTATATATTTAAGTACATGTATCTGGAATATGCTAACAGCCCACATCATTGTTCTGCTATAAGTTTCTTGAGTATTTAAGGAGAAGATTTGTGTAATCCATCAACCAATGAGGCTGCTTGGTCAAGCATTGGATTTAGAGATGTCATCAGGTTTCCTAATCATGAGGCCAAACTTGCTCAGAAATCCAGTCCATATTTTCTTTGTCCACCATTGTTTTCTTTTCCTTTGGACAAACTGTTCATTTATTTGCCTAAGTATTATGTAAGTTACCCAAATATCCATGATTCTTAAAGATTATAAATAGTGCTTCCTGAATGTAAAATATTGGGGCTCATTTTTTTAATTTATTTTTTTAACATTTATTTATTTTTGAAAGACAGAGACCGAGCATGAGCATGGGAGGGACAGAAAGAGAGGGAGACACAGAATCTGAAGCAGCTCCAAGCTCTGAGCTGTCAGCACAGAGCCCGACAGGAGTCTCAGACTCACAAATAATGAGATCATGACCTGAGGTGAAGTCAGACACTTAATCAACTGAGCCACCCAGATGCTCCTGGGGCTTAGTTTTAAGGGCTCAGTCATGTGTTGTTAATTATATTTCAGTGATTCTGTATTTTATTTCCCATTTGTTAATTAAACAGATATTTATTGATGTTTATTAGGTGCTATATGTACAGAAGGGAACATAACTATATCAGCCCTTATTTTTGTGGAGTGTATAATCTAGTCTCCATTAAAGAACACAGATTTTTCTCTTTAACTTCAAATTTTGCATTCATCTAATTTATTTTTCCTTTGTCTTCTGTTATCAAAAGCCCATGTGCCACAAGAAATGAGATTATGGTTTTCTGGGGTAGTTAAGTCTGGAGAATAGAACTGAATGGGATTTCTACCCCTCAGTGACATTTTCTAATCAACTGTATGTCTTTTGGCAAATTTTTTGACCTTCAGTTTTCTCCATTTAAAATATGGGATAAATATTACTTACATAGGTTGGTATGGTGTAGGGACTGAGAAAGATAGAGCACCCAGCATAGTACCTGTCAGAGAATGTATTCAATAAGGAATTAGTTTCTTTGTACATTTTTTGATTGGAGCTTTGCATGAAGATCCCTTTTGGAGCCTAAAAAAAAAAA